TATAATATAAGCCAGAGTTACTCAAACTTTAAAAAAGTGGGGACCACTTTTATAAATTAAAATTATCTGCAGACCACCTTACTCTTGCCCCCTCTGAAAGTAAATTTTTTAGTATAAGGTTACTAACAGTATGTTTATATTTAAAAAATATACTAAATTAAAATTCATTTAATTTTATACTGGTACTAAATCAATTGGAGAAAAGTTATATTGGTTTCCAATAATATAAAGCTATGAGTTTGGATAAATTTGATCTTATTAACTAAAAATTAGATGAATGATATATATCTCATTAAATAAAAGATAATATATATCTTATTAACTAAAAATTAAACTCAAATACTAATTTTAATGACATGGACGAGCCTTCAAATTCTTACATAGCTATTCTGTGTTTGGATGTATGCTGGTAAGCTTCAGTACGAGATCCGCATATACATCAAGTCGGTTTTGGCATTAAAAAGTAACTACTCATACAGAGATTTCTCTAAATAATGAGATAAATCTGCAGTTCTATCTTTTGATATTTGTTTGTTAGAAAATTAGTCACGCTGCCGAGCGCAACATAAATGAGTAGTTAATAGAAAGGAAAAGAAAATTATGCTTTTTTTTTTTTTTTTTTTAAGATTATCTATCTGAAATAACTCATGGTACAAGACTAAGATACAACAACACACCCAACAAATATTAATTTAGAAGTTAAACAACAAAAATCAGCATTATATTTTCAAATTTTCACAGTGAAATTTGTGAAAATATAATGCTGATTTTTGTTGTTTGACTTCTAAATTAACTCATGGTACGTTCTACCTTTAGCTGCTTTGAAGAAGTACTACGAGATAATTGAAGCATTCTCAGCTTTGGAAATATTAAAATGCTTTGTTTAATACATTAATGTATTTTTTAAAATTATGTTTGTTTGTGACATTAGAATCAGCACCATGCTTTTTCCCACCCAGCGTTAATTCTGCTGCCCGACGGGGCAATATGGGTTGCACTGACTCTGGTCCAGAGGAACACATGAGTTACTCCTGTTATTTGTTGAAATTTTTTCTTTCCCCAAATACTGGCAGGTTGCTCTACTACAGTAAGAACAGTTAGAAAAATTAAAAGTAATATTGGATCATCTGAAAACTTCTATTTTTTTTTCAGATCGCAATATACTTTCTTCTAATTATTTTGTTACTGCTGATAAGGAGTGACCTTGATCAAAGCAGATGTATAAAAACAGTCTTTTCTGTGCATGTTACATAATTCTACCAGATGCTGTGACATTTTTTTTTTTTTTTTTTTTTTTTTTTGGTGCAGCATTAGGAAAGAATTTAAAAGTTCATTTTTGTTATATTATGCTCTTTTATTTTAAAAAAGGAAAAAATGCTAGTCACGATTGCTCATACAGTTTGTGCTGCATATAGACAAAGCATTGTTTTTCATGACACAGGTCAAAACTGATCTTTTAAGTTCAGCCTCGATAATAACCTGCTCCGGATGACTATGCTCTGTAAGAAAGATCTATTAAAAGAAGCTATTGTGAAAATCCATGTCTATAGTTTCTGAACTATCAAAGAGATTAAATATTCTAAAAAATAAAGTATATAATAATTTTAATGAAACTATGTATGTAGGCCAAGGGCAAATTCTAGACTTTTTGCTGCCTGATTCCTTCCTAAGTTCTAAAAATTTTGTGTTCCCTAAATTCTGTTGCCTGGTGCAGCCCTGCACCAGTTGCACATGTTCTAAGAGTTTCAGCATGCTATTCTTTGCTGAAAGGAAATAAACAAGCTCCCTTTTCATTACTGGGTATGAGAAGTAGATACTATACAATAACATTACAAGATCATAGGATCAAATTTTTGCCAAAACCTAAAAGAACCTTCTTTAGTAACAATCAAGAAGGGGTCTGCATCCCCAAAAGTAATGTTTTGTATATATAATGGGATTACAAAGGAACTGTAAATTGCTGCCATCAAATCAGACAATAAATCTGGAAAAATACTGTTCTCAAGTGTCACTTTTGAAAGCAGAAATCAGAGCTGACAAAACACTGAGGTGTTGTGTCCCGTCATGACCATGCTCAGCCCCACATTTCGACGAATGTTACAGAAAAACTATTTGTCTAACATTATGGTTGAGATTTTTTATATCGGTCTCCGTACTTATCAGTTCTTGTCCTCTGGTTATCTATCTCTTTGGTCACTTCAAAATTCTCTGAATGGCCTTGAGTTTACTTCTTCAGACTATCAAACAATACTTTATAACAAATAAACCTAATGACTTTTTTTGAAAAGTAATTTTCCACCTGCTAGAGAGATGGCAATGTCATGGAATAAAATCGTGCTTATGTCATTCAATAAAATTTCCTTATTTCTTCTTCTTCTTCTTTTTTTTTTTTTTTTTTTACACTGTTTCATTTGTATTTCGCATTAAAATCCAGAAAATTTTTTGGATGACCCAACAGATTGCGGTATTTAAATATTTTTACTTAAATACATATGCGAGTGATATACCATATTTCACAGGCAATCTCAAATTGTAGGATTTATAAGATTAATTAACATATAAGAGTTCCTTTCTTAAATGTTACAAAAATACATTAAAAAGATAAAATTTCCTTTTTTAATTTGTACTGGGGGGGGGGGGAAGATTGGAAAATTATTTATGACTACACCTATTAAGAATTTAAATATATTTTCTGCTATAAGTTAATATAATTTTAAAATAAAAATTAAACTCTCTTATAAATGACAATAAAATAAATGATGAGGACTTGAAGATGAGAAATGCACATTTTTCTCTTTAAGTAAATGATAATAATCCGATATGTATTTCATTGGCAGCTCAACAATATGCCAAAGAATCAAAGACATACCATACATATTATAACTGTAAATGGAATTCAACAAATATTTATGCAAATAAACACAATTAAATTTAAAAGACATTTAGCACTTCCCTATTAGTTGGGCATAAAAGATTTATGAACTCGTATTGCTCTTTACTAGTGAATGGCAGTATACATTAGGCAGTAGACTTAGGATAAACATTAATAATACAAATAAACTTAATACATCAAATTATGCTGTACTAGATTGGAATAACTGGTATTTTCTTCTTAAAGTGGTCATTATTTGTCAAAATTTTCAAATTGCCCTATCTTTAACACACAAAGGTTATGAAAAATTTCAGATACTCAATGAAGGCTTATGTGGTAGTTGCTTTAGCAAAGAGTTACTGAATAATTGTTTGCATGAAATTTGGGGTTGCATCATTAAAGAAATAACAATAATGGTTCAAATTTGATTATCAAAGGATATGAAAACTTATTTACTAAATTTGAAAACTGAGGAGATATTTCTCTGCAGCAATGGCTATTTGCTATTTTTCGAGAAACTAATGCTTTGTTTTCCTCAAATAACTAAATATTTAAGATTCAGAATACAATCAGAGCCTCAGAAATTTGCATATGAAGTTAGAAACAGTTTGAGAGCTTTAAAGTCAATCATAAATGGAGTTTCACAGATTCAACTACTAACCAAATATGATGCTTCAGTTACTCAGCTAAACATGGTATAATATTTGCCTATTTATCACACTTACTGCTCTTAAGCACCACAAAATCCTTTCTTGTCTAGCTGATGGATAAGTACAAGACATTTATTTTGGAATACATTTCATACATTATGACTGTGTAAGAGAGATGTCAAATAATATATCTGATGAGTCTAAAATGCTTATCCTAATTTAAGATTTGAGTATTCTGTTTAACTAAGACAATGCTTTCAGTGAGAGAAAGTGAAATGAATAATAAATCTGATGGATTTTTTCCGCAGCGGATAAGTTGCTGCCGGTGCGTATTTATTCGCCAAGCTGGGGGAATGTAAAATCAGAAAGCGATCAATTAGTGACAAAATATTAGTAAATTAATGCAATTAACAATACAGTCATTCACTCTACAATGAATTATTTTAATTTAGATACAAATTATAAATTATAACAAAATTACTTGAAAAAAGGGTTAATCTTTGAATTATGGTAACTTGGCAATTTTTTGGAGAAAATTTGGCAATCAACCCTGCTACAGCAACCTGTTAGTTTTTGTTTGGATGCCATTTTTTTTTTTCACGAAGTAAAGGCCTTTTTTTTTTTTTTTGTTTTTGTTTTCTACTCAACATTTTTTCCCCAACAATCCGCTATCCGAATTACACTTATGCTAGAACTTTTATGGACCAAAAGTGCTTAATCATGATGAAGATTAGGTGTGAATGCAGAATCGCAAACTGCTTCCCCTGGGGCATAGCTAGAGGGGGCATCTGTCCCCGGGCGCAGAATCCAAGGGGCACCAAACTGATGTTACGACATTTTAGAATTAAATGTTTTCCATCCTTGGCAAGCAGTAGGGGGCGCAAAATCTTCAGTTGTCCCTGGGCACCAAAAATCCTAGCTACGACTCTGTGCTTGCAGCGTTTCTAAGAATTGCACATACACTGTAACCATGTACACGTCGACCTATTTTCACTTAAAAAAACATCCCAGAATTGCCCAAAAATGGCATTCCGCACACTCTTTTGACTTTATCCGTGTACACTGCTAAAGTCCTAGCTAATAACCTTTATTGCCTTAGCAAAATGTCGCCAAACTACCTGTTACCATATTCCAAAGATTAGCTAAAAAAGATCTCTTATAAATTTGTTGAAGTTAGTTCTATCATGAACATATAATAAATGAGTTCATACTAATTCAGAAGACAAACCATCCTCAGCTGCAAAAGCACAAATGATTTTGGTTCATTTGTGCTTTTGCAGCTGAGGATGGTGGTTCGGTAAAACCATCGAAACTAGTCCTGTGAAAATACAACGCTGAGTTTTGTTGTTTGATTTCTGAATTAATATTTGTTCGGCATATTATTGTGTCTTAAAATGAGTTCATATACGCATATGGAAGAATTTATATGGAATTCCATATAAAGCTATGAAAGAAGGTTAAGAATGTTATTCAACATGTTAGTCATTTGTTAGTCTTTTATTCAACACACTTCTTTACAATATATAATAAATTTTACATTACATTATTATACTTAGCTCTGTTTTTATTTGAATATGGCATTTATAAAATTTTAATAAATATAAACATGAAATAAAGAGCATATGTAGGTACAATAATAAAAAAAGTATTTTTCCTCAAAACTTTGCAAACAGCAGTGTACATGACATTAATGAGGGAACAGAATGCTACACCTTTTTTTTTTTTTTTTTTTTGTATACTCGTTTTCGAGCCAAAAGATAAAAATTCATCTATTTAGCACAAATATTACTGGCAAAGGAATTGGAAACATTAGACAGTAAATTTAAAATTTTTGTAACCCAGGAAACCAATAGGATGGTTCACCTTCAAACTGGTCATCTATCCACACCAAACCTTCTTTAATTAAATCGGTAAGAGCAGCTTCAGCACGCAACTGTTCCCAAGCAAAATCTTGAATTAAAGCAGAGAGAGTAACATGTCCAGTTGTACCAGCCTTTTGTATGATTTTAGTGTGATCGACACTTAGCTCTGCAGGAACAGATTGCACAATATGATCTTTCACTGATCCACATGTAATTGTTCGAAACCCTTCACCAAGAATTTTTAATTTATCTATAGCACGAAGTACGTCGTCATATCCAATATCTTCTTGCTTTTGAATACCACCTCTGGATTTAATCAGAAGTTGACGCAATTCTTCTAAATTTAATAACCCTCCGTTTCGGTGACGTGTGGCCAAGCAAACTTCAATAATCTGAACTCCAAGTTCATAGTAAAAATCACCAACTCCCAACATATTCGCCCAGAAGCCTTTGCTGGATGCTAAAGGATCTACACCTGCAGCTGCACACATTTCTTGAAATTGTTGTCTAAATTGTGGATTTTTCTTTATCTTGTTTTTATATTTTCCAGCAAATTCTTGTAAATTTGTTCTGAAAGTTTCCATTTGTTTTGTCATTTGCTGCAACTGATCATCAGCTATTTCCGATCCTTTATCTTTAAAGCGTGTCTGAGCTAACTGATGTTTTTGTATAGCTCCTACACCACCAACACGCCGTCGCATCTTAAATACTTTTAATATTCAACTTTAAAAGACAATTAGTACCAATATATATTTTCGTCAATTTACAATTTCTTAAACAATCTTATGTTTACCACTACATATCTATCAGAGTCAACTTGTTGCCAATTGTTAATTTACTGTCATGTCAATTGTTAATTTTATTGCCATGTCAAGTTAATTTCAAGTGATGTTGTAAAAATTTTAAAATTCGGTTTAGTAATGGGAAAGAAAATATATAAAATTGTAAAATAATTTTATCATTTGTATTTACGTGATCTGTAATTCAAAAAAACATAAGCAGAAGACAACGTGTATTCTAAGCTGTACTCAATCCGACCACTGATTTATCTATCGCAGTTTTATTAGTAATTTCTGCATGGCATCAGAGTTTCAATACGTGTTTGTAAACATTGAATACTGAAGTCATTATGTTCTGCTTTTGTATTACCAAATATTTACGTGCAGTCCCCAAAAGACCTTATTATGCTTTAACTAAAATTTATCATCCGTTATGCTATGGATCTCATTCTTGTGCAAGTATTATCTATAATTTTCTCCTTTTAGATGAACAGTTGTGTTAAAGTGTATTTTTAAAAATTCATTTGTTTTAAAGGGAAAATGTGTTACTGGATTTGGATTATAGATTAGATTTATGGTGCGAAAGTAAATAATACAATATGTATTTAATTTCTGTTATAGCATGTAGTATATAGAATTAATGTACATAGATTAATTACTAATGAATCATTTTATTTCTCCGTAATGCAGCATTACTTTTTATTTCTCCACTTTAGAATTAATTTAAAAGGAAAGAAATTCTAGACGAGATGAAGTTTGTATTGCTTATATTATAAACGTTTTATTGAAGACTGAATAATGTTTCAAAAACATCTGTGCTTATCGTAATCTCTGGTTCTAACGTTTGCTACTATAAATTTTAGAATATTATGAAATCAGAATCTTGTAGTATAATTTATAATATACTACAAATATGCATACTAATTTACAATACGTATTTAAGTATGATAACTCGGTTAAAAATCAACACTTGTTAAATTATTAGAATTATAAAATGTAAGGCTTCTAGTTTTGGCATACAGTAAACACTTTAGATGTCCATGTGATTTATTTTTTTTAAATTTGAGTTTAAATATATATGCAATTTGAATAATTATAAATTTGCAATAACTGGCCACTTTTGAGATAAACAGAGTTAATGATAGAATTTGATTTAATGTAGAAAATTACAGTGGAGTGTTAAAACAATAACATACTTTATTATAAAGTTTACTTTTAATATTTTAGTTGGAGCAAAATAGTACGCAGATCAATTTTTAAATGTGAATTAAATTTTATAAAAAATTAATTGCCCAAAGAATTTTTTTTAATGTTAAAAAGCAGTGTTTACTGTGAAAGGATTCTTTTATTAGCAGTATTTACTCCATTTTGTCTCTTCATAGAGAATAGTTGGAAATGATATGTGATCTATGGTCTTTTATTTATTTATTTAGATAGTGCCACTAAAATTGGTTGTTAAGTCATTAGCCCAGAAGGGCTATTACTCTTGAAAAATCATTTTGCATTGAATCACTTAAATGTAATTAATCACTTTTCAAACTGTTGCCATCAAGTATTATTGCTCTGTATTATATTTAAAGAAATTAAATAATGAAGAATCTGCATGAGCATATGTATTTTTCTCACATTGTGAAAAAAACACAATACCTAGAGTCATCAAATTTTGTAAAACCTCCTGTAGCTGAACATAGGCATCTGGAAGCCTGAATTTGAAATCTAGAATTTGTTTGATTTTATATTTTATAAGTAGGAATTTTTGATTAACAAACTCAGTGATTTCAAAGTGAGCAGTGGCAACCCTGTAGGGAATAAAACTATTTTATCTCTGATGCGTAAGACTGTCTATTGGTAATTGTAAATACTAATTTTAAATATTTTTACCCCGAAGTGGCATTAGGCCAAATGCTCTTGAAACATGTATGTGTCTGTAAATAAAAAATATCTGAATGCATTCAAATTTTGTTTAATTTTTTAAAATTGTATTTATTTTCATATATTTTTTGGCCATGCTGAATGACATTCATAATGTATATGGCTAAACGACTCATAAAAACAAGAATTTTTCTTGCCTTATTTTTTAAAAATAAGTAGGAATTTAAATTTAATAGAGTTAAAAATTGCATAGGTTTTTAAATTAATTAACAGAATAATTTTGTTTTATGTTTTCTTAATGACTTGTATTTATTTTCATGTTTAAAAATAGCATTTTAGAGGGCCATCTAAGAAATAATTAACAAAAGGCAGTAGATTGCATACTACAGCATTGCTGAATAGTGTCTACTCTAGCTGCTTGCCCTAACCTGTGACCTCTCAAAACTGGTGCCTGTTACATCTGGTACTTTATTGGGCAGTCTAGCAAGAGGGATTCTTGGGAACAGAAACTTTTAAAGTTTTTTCTGTATTAACTTCCCACTATGTGTGCTAATATTCCACTGTTATTTTACTTTATGAATCAGATTGTCTATGAGCAGAAGCAGCAGAGACTGCGAGATATTCTTGCAAATTCTTTGACAGATGAGGAAATCAATGGCATATATAGTCATGAAGTGAAAAAAGAATTTGATGGATTAGCCCCAATAAGAATTGTTTTTGAAAAAATAGATTATACTTTTCAAAAAGTGTAATGTATTCCTGAATAGTTATGATGAAACATGTTATATAGTTACTGTTGATGAAAAGCTAGAACCATTTTGCAGAAGATATCAGTTTCTCCAATACATCAAGAGAAAACCAGCAAAATATGGTATACAAATTTTTGCACTGTGCAATTGGTACATTATCTATAAATTCAACAATGAAATTAATCATTTGTCATGATGAAACTATTTGAAAGAACTTGCTATTGATTTAGTACAGGAGCATTTCTTGATAGATCAGAAAACACTAATATACCACAGAGTATTAGAACTAACTCTAAAAGGACTCTAAATTTATCAGATGACAGACTGGCGAAACTTCCAAAGTCTCCAGCTTGTTGTCGATACGAAGAGTGTCTAAAGAAATCTGATCAAAAGGCTTCATTAAAAAAAAAAAAAAAGAAAAAAAAAAAGAAAAAGAAAAAAAGAAAAGAAAAAGTTATTTCGATGAATAAAAAAATATTTTGAGCATAGCCAATAAAATTAAATAAATCTAACAGAATATGAATGCTCAATAATGAAAGTTTAAACCCTTTATATTCAAAATTTTCTAATACAAACTGCTTAAAATATTCACTTCATTGTAATTTAACACTTTCCTGCAAAAAAAATATTGTTAATTTTATGTATTAAATGTTTAAATCTTTCAGAGTAATAGAAAATGAATGAATGTTAAAAAAGGGATGCAAAATCAGAGATAAGTTAATATTAGTTTTTTTTTTTTCCTTTGAAAACTGACTTTTAAAGCAACTTTAAGTATAATTTTTTGATTAAAATGCTGTATCTTACTGAGAAACTAGAGTAAAAATTAGGATCAAATTAACCTGGTAATGTCACAGAAAAAGGTACGTATGCTGAAGGATTAAGCATAAAGTAACCAGATTTTGTAGATCCTACTTCAGGATGTCCTGCATTCTGTAAAGGTTGGCATGTTGTGTAAATACAGTTGATGTGTCACTGTTAATGCTGCTGCATATGGTTATGAAAATATTATTTTAGGATCAGAAATATCCTTCAATCATGCCTTCTAGACACTTTAGGGAACTCGTAAGGTTCATTGAAAAATCAATTTATGGAATAATTTCTGAACTTAGATTCCAGCTGTGTTTCATATTTTGACTATAGATAATCATTTTAATTTTGAATCAGTCACATGAAAATACTATTGAAGGAAAACACTTTGTCTAAAGTTTAACTTCTGGGGGAAAAAATGTTGATGAAGCATAGCTATCTGATAACAAATTATTCAATGAAATGTTATATTAAGAAAGATTCATTTTCTGAAAATTAAATAATATTTTGAGTACAGACCAAAATTTAGTGAAATGGAGCAAGATTTTTCTCATGATTAGAACAATTACATTTCTTTTAAACCTGTGCTAATATGAATGAACTCTGCTTACTAAAACAACTGCAGCAACAACACTGTGTGTACAATGAAACTTTTAAAAGTAGACAGTAAGTCTAAGAACATGAATAAACCCTATATTGAATATTTGATAAAAGTATTCTTCATAGAAATTCAAAATCATTTAAAATGGTATGCTTTGTTTGGGCAATTACACCGTTACGTGTGAGCAAGAGAAAAATCCATTTAAGCATATTAAGTGCTTAAAACAATAAGATTTTGCTTTAAAGTATGATTTTCTTCTGTTGTTTTCTCCCAGCTATCGGAATTGTCTTGTTTTGCATCAGCTTTGGAAAAATCTGCTCATTACAGCTTAGTAGGTTTTCAAAAAGTGTCATGGCAAGGATTATCTGGCTTTTGGAAATGTTAGTCTTACACCTGAAGAACCTTGGAACTGAAAGTTGAACCTGATGTATTGCTGGATAATCCATGCTGTTTAGAACCTAGTGTTTGAGATCAGGCATGGATTGCAGTTTTGATTAAGGAAATTAATATACAGTTTCATTATATATAACAATCCTTTTTAGGTTGCAAGTTTATAATTGTAAAATTGTAACCAATTAAATTTATTAATAACTGCAAAATGTAATTAATTATTTAAATTATTCCACCTATTGTTTTACTGATAACAAGGATGGTTACCTTTGGTAGATTTAGTAATGTTTTTCTGTAATTATCAAATAATATTTAACCAGCTGATCATGTTGGTGGTCTTGGAGATCTGTGATTGAATGGAGATGGACATGATATGACTTTTTTTAATGTGATATGACTGACCAATTTTATAGATGGCAAAAAAAAAATTGATCTGTAAAAATTATTCCACATATTGAAGATGCCAGAATACATCTTTATTGCACAAATATTTGCAGTGATTAATAAATTAGAGCAGTGGTTCTCAACCTTTTGACTAACTTGTACCATCTAAACAAAAATTTAAAACCTTTAAAGTACCATCACCACAAAGTACTACTACCACTACCACTCTTGAACAAAGCTCAGATCGCATAAATTTACAAGTGTTAGAGAAAGAAACTCAATCAGGATGTTGAGGTTTTAATTTTTAAATTTAGTACTTAAAATTCTTTGCTTTTTTGTATACCACCTATTTTTCTCTTGCGTACCACTGGTTGAGAACCCCTGAATTAGAGTATAAGTGCTTTTAAGTTTATGAAAATATTACAAAATTGAAACTCTAAAGTAATGTACTGATTTGTGGTCATATTTATTTGAAATTTTATGTTTTTCAGAATTGTACTACTGCAATAAAGTAGGAGTACATTTTATTTTAGTAAACATTATGAAACAATATAGTATATTGTATATAGCTCTAATATATTGTTTTATACTTATTATGAGACTAGTTGTAATTATGTATAATGAGATATATAAAGAGAGTTTTGAGTAATCTTATGTTTTGATATGTTTAAAATGAGTAGAATTTTTAATGGGAGATAAAGAATATGTGTAAAACTTAGGTTTTATTCAGATTATCAAGGAAACTGTTTGTTGAATAAATAATCTGAATGTGAAAATGTGATTTTCATTTAATTGGTACATTGTGTAGATTGAATGAAAATTGATTTTTCTTGGGTCTTATACAACAGTTTTATTACAGAAACTTAATTTTACATAACAATTAATTATGTATTGAAATAAAATAGTGAATTATTTGTGTTGCTGAAGTAGCTTTAATAACTTTAGGTTTGATTTATGTAAAGATGTTTTGGCCATATATATAAATACATCATACATAATGTTTGAAACTTAGCATATTGTTTGACTGTTCTACATATTTTGTACTGTTAAGATCAACTAGTTTGAAATATAATTTTTTAAATTCGATTTTTTAAGTAATCAAAATTAGTAAGTAAACACAGGTTTCAGGAATAAACCGAGTAAACCAGGAAATTGTTAGTTTAACCCAGGTTCAAGTCCTGGTGAACAGACTGGCTATATGGAAATTTTCATGGTTTGCCATATATACGATGTGAATACTAGTCAGCTTCCTTTGAAAAGTCATCTGCAAAGGCATCCTATTCCTTATGTAGATTCTTGTGTGCTTTACTGTAAACCAAATAATCTGATCCATTCCATTTTTAAACAAGCATAATTATTGTTGAGAATCGAGCATTTAATTGATGTTATGTGCAGTTTTAGTGGCATCATTCTTTTGTTGTATTATTATGTTTTATGCATCTGGCATGACTGTTATTTCTGTCATTCTAAAGTTTTTATGTAAACAATAAGACGTATGTAAAGTTTCTTTACTTTTTCTTATTAAAGTCTGAAATTCATTTAGCCATCACTCCGTTTCATTAATTTTATAACACTATTCGAGCTCTAATTGCAACGGCAGCCAAGGAAAATCTCAAGTTATATCAAATTGACGTGCAGATGGCATTCCTTTACAGTGACCTAACTGAGGAAATCTACATGCATCAACCCGAAGGCTATGAGGATGGAAGTAAGCGTGTATGCAAGATGCTCCGAACTTTACACGGAACAAGCTGGATGATGTTGGAATGCCAAGTTTACTGACGTGCTAAAGAAACATGGCGTGATCCAAAGTAAATCCGACAACTGCCTGTTCATACAAAATGATTATCGACATAAGGCACTGATGGCGATTTCTGTTGCTGATGGCATTGCCGCTTTTCAGGACAAAGCAGCATTCTTCACATTTATGGACAAGCTCAACCAACATTTTAACATTTGAGTCGTGACGTTAAATTGTTTCCTTGGTATACAAGTTGAACGTTTGAAAGACGGCTCCAAGAAGCTCTTCTTGCACCAAGAAGCATTTACAAGAAAGATATTGGAGCGATTTGGAGATGCTAAGACATCACATATCCCAGTAAAGAAGTCGAGTCTGAAGGTCGACTATGGTCAACCAAATGATGACGGCATGATCAAGATCAAGGAGGCAAAGCCTCTCAGCAGTGAAATTCCATACCGATTTGTAGTTAGCAGTTTGCCGTATTTGGCCATGGGAACTCAACCAGCATTGCTTACGCAGTGAGTTTAATGTCTCAAAAGCTGAACAGTTCTACAGAAAGTGATTAGTAAATCATACAGGCAACATAAAGATACATTTGAAATATCATTAGACACAGTGTTATGTACAATAATGAAAATGATAGAAGTTTGATGTTGTTTAGTGACGCAGATAACAACCAGCTGTGCAGGAACACGCAGGTCTCGAACAGGTGTTATTTCTTTCTATGGTGGAGGTGCAATTATGTGGCGAAGCAAGCTACAGGAGGCCATATCCAATTCGATGACAGAGACAGAGTTCATGGCAGCAGAGGATGCTGCAAAAAACCTGATATGGTTGAAGGGCTTGTTCAATGAGATAGCTAATAATGTCTCATTGCCTATCCTACAAATTGATAATCAGAGTACTAACAAGTACATAAAAAATTCAATGTTCCGAGCACGCATAAAACACATTGACCAAAGGTACAAGTTTGTGCAAGATGAGTTCTCTAAGGGACATTTTAAATTAAGCTATGTCAGAAGTCATGAACAATGAGCAGACATTCTGAAGAAGGCACTTTCAGCACCTCAGTTTCATTTTCAGAAGAAATTGATTGGTGCAAAAACAGTCAATAAGTAAAGGTATATGAACAATGACTATTTTTATGCTCGAAGGAGGCTGTTTGAGAATTGAGCATTTACTTTGTGTTATGTGCAGTTTTAGTGGCATCATTGTTTTGTTGTATTATTATGTTTTATACATCTGGCATCAATGTTATTTCTGTCATTCTAAAGTTTTCATGTAAACAATAAGACATATGTAAAGTTTCTTTACTTTTTGCTTATTAAAGTCTGAAATTCACTTAGCCATTACTGTTTTGTTAATAACAGTGATGGCTAAATGAATTTCAGACTGTTATAATAATTATAACTATAGAAATTAATATTTTCACTTTCAGTTTGTTCTGTGTAATGTTTAACTGATATTAACTGATTGATATATTGATTATTATTTTTTTTCACGTTTAATATTGTAATCTTTGTTTTAAGCTTATTTTTGAAAGGAAGTAATATGTTATGTATATTTAATTCTAATATTCTGAAATTGTTTTATGCTTTTTATAGTTGTCTTCCATCTCTTTTGAAACATGCGAATCGAAGCAAGTTTTGAAAAAAGGTTAGGTATAATTCTTATTACATCTTACCTTTCTTTTCTTAAGTAATGTGTGTGGCTGAGACAATTTTCTGCATCTAAGGGGGGAACCTTTCATTTATATTTAATTTTAATAAAATGTACTTTTTAAAATACAGATCAAGTAAAATTTATGGATTGTATCAAAACATATTTAGCTTTGCTTTGATATACGAGGGTTGGGGCAAAAGTCAAGGCAATTATTTTTTCTTCTAGATATGTGAACGGATCACAAAACATACACTGGTGTGCAAAAATTAAGGACGAGACGGTTTTTTCAATATAACTTTGTACAAAAGCTTTCCAAATCAACACATTTAATACTTTAAGATCCCCAATACGTAAGGACATGAGTAATGTAAGCAACACTTACTAAAAGAGAAATTAGAGGGATAAAAAGAAGCTTTATTGAAAAAGTAGCATGGAGCGCAATGCGACTGAAGGCCGAAACATCTCTGTGATGGGTGTCCAGCAAGAAACATCCGGTCTTTAATAGGGGATATAATCTCCACTGACTGCTAGGCAGGTTTCACAGCGTCTGCCCATGCTGAGAATGAGGTGTCAATGAGTTGTTGAGGCATTGCTGCCCATTCGTCTTGCAGCGTCAATCGAAGCTCCGGAATCGTTACTGGTGGTAAGGTACGAGCTGCCAAGCGTCTGCCTAGAAAATCCCATACATGCTCGATGGGATTGAGATCCAGAGATCGTGCCGGCCAATCCATACGTTCAATATCCTCACTCTAAGAGCTGTTCGGCAGCTACTGTGTGATGACATGGTGCATTGTCGTCCATGAAAAGGAACTGCGGACCCATAGCGCCTCTAAAAAGACGCACATATGGAAGAAGAATCTCGTTACAATAACGGGTCCTGTTGACTGAATCTGCGTCGAAGATGTGAAGGTCTGTACGACTACCAAGCATGATGCCTCCCCAAACGAGAACACCGCCACCTCCATACCTGTCCCTCTCAATGATGTTCGAGGAATGATTGCGGCTTCCCCGCTCTCTCCAGATGAGTATGCGATGAGAATCGCTACTCAGACTGAATCTGCTCTCATCTGTAAAGAGTACTCGTCCCCATTCATCATCTTTCCAATTGCAGTGTTCCCGGCACCACAGAGAACGCCTTCTCCAATGGACAGGCGTAAGAGGTACACACCGTGTACGGTGTGTACCTGTAGTACCCTATAGGGCGTTGTGCAAACAGACCACCACCGTGCAGTCTTCTGGCCACGGTAAAACGCGATATCGGTCGTCCAGTCGCCTGTGTCATGTGTCTAGTGATTTTTCCCTCTGTCTGCCGCCTGTTTCTTCTGGTCTGTAAGACAATATACCGGTCATCTGCGGGTGTGGTTCTTCGTGGACGACCACTACTAAACCCCCGGATAGCTGTTCCTGTAGTTTGAAATTGTCTCCAAAGTCGTGAAACGATTCTGTGAGCAATTCCGAACTCTGCAGCCACACTTGTCACACTGCGGCCTTCCTCCAACTTCCCAATGATTCGACCTCGGGTAAAAGCATCCAGATGTCGTCTAACAGATTGATTATTCGCCATTTCTTGCTGAGGCAGCAACTCGGTGTGATTTTAACTGCTATACGGCGTGCAATCTCTTTGCCAGAAATACTGATCTTACACCGACAACATGCTTTATACTACTCAGACACTCCCCCATTACGTCTACCTGCATATCTGCGCATGTGTTACCGTACATCACCTTACTTAATCTCCTGATTGGTCTTTCTGTCCGCTCTGCCTCTTCGTTCAGCTGATATGCTAATTTTTTGACTTCGTCCTTAATTTTTGCACACCAGTGTATATGTGTCATGTGGAAGTCCTGCAGGCATGGTGTGTATGCAGAACAACAGATGGCTCTGTGATAGCTGGCTGTGTGGTAGCTAGGGCTCTGAAATCAGTCAGTTGGTGAGTGTCATGCCAGATGGAAATAACCAGTGTTGAGCAGCATGCTTACATCAAAATATCCGTACTCCGAGGGAGAAATGCGATGGAATGTCACAGTGAATTAGTGGATGCCCTTGGGAATAATGCCCTACTATATCGTACAGTAGCACGGTGGGTAAGAAAGTTTTGGCAAGGACGTGTCAACCAGTGATGAGCTACGTTCAGGAAGAATGTTGAGTGTGCCGTCATTGAGCACCTCATGGATGAAGACAGACGATGGACGTTACTGGAGTTAGAGAGGGCAAGTGGCATCGAGAAACGCACCGTCCACAGGATATTGCGTAATGAGCTACAGCTACGCAAAATCGCTTCGCGGTGGGTACCGCATGCACTGACGGAAGTTCAAAGGTGGGTGTGCTATGCAATATGCTCCGACCACTTTGCACGCTGGCAACAGGACGGCGATCAATTCTTTTCACGAATAATCGCCATCGATGAATTTTGGGCCAGGGCATACAAACCAGAACTGAAATGTCAGTCAGAGTGGCGACATCCTGGATCACCAAGGCAGCAGAAAGTCCGAATTTTTTTATAAGAGTTTATTTTATTTCAGAGATTCAAATTTGTGTCAGTTTTCTCTTAAAAATTCACTTTACACTTTGCTTTTCTGTATTTTTTATTCAAAAATCTTCTGGCTTTTTGCTTTTACAGAGTAGGAAAATTTTTACAGTTGGAACCTCAAACAGTTTAAAAGGAATTTTAAAGCAAGAATTATAGAAAAAGGAGATAAAATGAAAAGTGTCTTTATGTTATTGCCATGTAATGATTGGGCTTTATATGGACATTGTAATAAATTTCTTATTTTTTTGGAGGAGTTTTGTAAGATCAGTGAAAACAAAGTTATTTGAGTTTTCTGCTTTTGATCAAAAAAAAGTCTTTCTCTTAACATGTTTATCTTCACATCTTTTCACTAGATACAAGCTTGGAAAATTGCAAAAATGGTTCTAATCTTGTCACATGGTCAGGCGTCTGTAGAAGAAATTTTCTATTAATAAAGAAATTATAAACGGACAATTTAAAAGATTCATCTTATATGTCTCACTGCAACACAGGAGTAGGTCTCGGCATTTTGCCATTTCATTTAGTCTCTATCAGCCCTGCGCAATGTCTCTCCTAAATTAAGAAAAAATTTATCTTCTCATCTTTTCTCTTGGTACAAGCTTGGAAAATTGCAAAAATGGTTCTAATCTTGTCGCATGGTCAGACGTCTGTAGAAAGAAATTTTTCTATTTATAAAGAAATTAAAAAATGACAATTTAAAAGATTCATCTTATATGTCTCACTGCAACACAAGAGTAGGTCTTGACATTTTGCCATTTCATGCAATCTCTATCAGACTTGCCCAATATCTCTCCTAAATTCTAAAATTTTGATAATCCCTAATCCCTAAATTTTGTTGCTCATTGCTTCATTAACTTCTAAAATTCTGCCACACTGCCTCTGGGGACACTTATGACCTTATATTGTTTTATATTTATTCTCAAGATTTATATCGTTAAAGAAATAAAATTAGCAGTTTCTTCTATACATCCTAAATACATGCAGTTCTTTAGACTAACAGAAGTCGTCAATTAAATCTTCTTCATTTTACATCTTAAAATAAATTTAAAAATGTAAAATGAAGAGGAGAAACTTATTCAGAAAGAAATTGATTATATAAAGAGAAAGAAATTTGCTTTTCAAAGATATATTGTCGGATTAGGGGTTTTTCCGGATCATAGATCATCAATTTAAATCTGGTAAGATGGCATGCAGAAATTATACAATTAAAAATATGAAACCGTAATTTATGAAATAAAGAGCAATTATGTTCTAAAGGGTATCAACATTTACCCCCCCCCAAAAAAAAAAATCGTTGATGTAAATTTATTCATAAATGTTTTTTGTATTTTAACATTTTTATATTTAATTATGTAGAAGTTTACCTGTCTGATGATCCATGACATTAATATTTATATATTATATATACACTGAATTTGAATTTTATTTAAATATTTAATATAGAGAGAGGGTCCCGCAAAAAAAAAAAAAAAAAAAAAAATCCAATCGGGCCCCGCACCTGTTCGATCTGGGCCTGCCTCTGTGTCACTTACTTCACTATCGGAAGTGGTATTTTCTGGATCTAGAACCATACTACAGATCTCGCCGTCCGTTAATTGATTGATGATTGGGGCATTGTCGTCGCAATAAAAAACTTCTGTTATAACATCTTCATTTATTACTGCTTCTCCACATTTCTGTACAAAATCCAATAACTAGAAAATTTCACCTTTAGTTTGCGATGTCTGAAAACCTTCAAATTCACGGCTATCATCTTCATCGTCCGCACCATGAAATATGGTAGCTCGCCATAAATTATGCCAAGCATTTTTTAACGTATCTGGAGACACATCCTCCCATGATCTTGTGATGCTCCAACACAGTAGATTTTATGCTAAAAAAAATTTCAAAAAGTCTTGATAGTCTTGCCATTGTTCAAGAAATTTAACATAGATTTTTAAAATGCTGCTTTATATTTGCATTTCAGCACGTGCACTGTTCCCATATCCATAGGCTGAATGATAGACGTACAATTTGGAGGGAAGAATAATACGGATACATTACCTTTCACTAAAACTTTAAGTGAAGTATGCGCCGAACAGTTATCAGCAATCAGGACTATTTTTGAATCATGAGGTAAACAAATCGAATTCAAATGTCGCCGAGCCTTGGGTATAAAATGATTTTCAAACCAATCATTCATCAATGCTTGTGTCATTCATGCTGTTTTATTTGTGCGATATATAACAGGGAAAATCACTACTCCTTTAACCCTTTGCGGCACAGTGTGCCCGGTCTGGATACACCTAAAAATTTCCTTCTGTACGCACAGAAAAATTGAATGAAAAAGCATTTATAGGTTACTCTGAACCTTCTTTATATTTAGTAGATGGCAGCTCAGCACAAACCAGTCCATATATTTTAGCCATGTTTATTTTTTTAAGACCCTCATTTTTCAAAGAAATCATCGAGATTTTTTTTAGAG